AAAGCGTCGAACGGATCCGAGAGACGTCCAAAAGGGCCCTAAGATTGCTCAAGCGCGCTCCAAGAGAGCCCAAGACCGCACAGGAGCGTTTCAAAATTGGTCCAACATGGCTTGACGACAGCCCAAGAGGGCTTCAAGACGGCCAGATGCTTTCGAAAGGAATCCCACGAGGCACTCAGGAGGCGAAGAAAATGTGTTATTTCCATGGTTGTTGAAGGTTTGTCGTGTTCTCAGTGTTTCGCGCTTCCAACTATCATAGACAGTCCACGAAACCCCAGAAATCAGCTCAACACGGCCCAAGAGGCACCCGAAGAGGGCTCCGCGACGGCGCAAGAGAGCCCCAAGACGGCCCAAGAGCGCCCCAAGACAGCCCACGAGGCGCCCAAGATACCTTAAGAGGGCCCCAAGACGGCCCCACGAGCGGCCCAAGAAGGGAACACGAACCAACAACTCGAGTTCTCCGCCCCAAGAGGCCTCCAGGAGGCCGCAAGAGGACCCCAACAGAGCCCAAGAAGCCCCCTGGAAGCCCCAAAGGGGTTCAAGAGCACCCCAAACGGCCCCAAAGAGGCCTCCAAAACATACCAGTGCAAAGCAAAGGACCGCCTAGCCGATCGTGGCATCGCAGCGTTGCATGACATGACATGGCACGGCACAGCACGACAGAGCTAATCGTGTCAGTGCATATCACAGTATGGTTCAGCATGCCATAGCATTACATTACATAGTGGTGTCTAGCTGAGCCTAGCACTGCACGTCACGACGTAACATTGTCTAGCATGGCAATGCATATCATGACACATCGTGCCGTATTATGGCATTACAATACGCATAAATTCATCGAACGGCACCGTACTGCTCTGCGCAACAGTAAACAGAAGTCATGCAAATATCACACCCTCGTTGTTGCTCTTACTGTCGTCTTGTTTATGTTAGCCTAGCAGCTCAAAACATGACATAGTATTGCATTGCATGGTTTAGCACGGTATGTCGTGTCTGTTCATACCATGTAACGCGGTAACATCGCTCTGTATAGGAAAGATAGCATGCTATGGTTCAGCGTATCATCGCAGACATGACCATCACATGTCACAGCACAGCATGGCCTGGCATGCAATGCGCACTGTAGAGCAGATCATGCTATTGCATTGCATACTGCATAGTGACATTGCTCTTCATAGCGTAGCATGGTGTGTCAGGGCATTCCATCGCATAGTGCAATATGGCGCTGTGGCGCTACATTTTTCCTGGCCCATAGCTTGGCGACAGATCACGGGTCGATCGGTTGGTGAGCGGAGGAGGAGGAATGAGGAAGGGGCAGGAGGAAACATATAATGTTGACCTCATTATGCATGACCTGCTTGTTGTCTCAATGCGGTCAGCATTCGACCAGCTAGAACCTAAGCGCGCGCGAAGCGCGCGCGATGGTTCTAGTATCTTTACACATGTTCGTTTATTTATTGAATTAATTGCTATACATATATACACGGTCCGCGCGGCATTGTCACGTGATGAATAGAGCGGAGGTCTATTTCTTGTTCGCTCCCCATGTCATTGTCACGTGGCGAGTGGAGTGAGACAGTAGTTTTGCTTGGCTCTCAGGCCTTGCCACGTGGCGTTGCCATGTGGCGAGTAGAGTAGAATAGCATGTGTTCCCGGCCCGCTTCGTTGCCACGTGCCGAGTAGAGTGGAGTAAGTCTGTTTTGCCCCGCAGGCGTTGCCACGTGGCGAGTACAGTGCAGTAGTACTTGTCCCCCCCGGCGCTCCCCTGGCGTTGTCAAGTGGCGCGTAGGGTGAAATAATAGCTGTTCCGCCCCGCAGGCAATGCCACGGGGCGAGTCGTGGAGTGGAGCAGTTTTTGTGTCGCTAAAGTGTTTTTTTTTAATTTCCGCCTCGCAGGCGTTGCCGCGTGCCCAGTAGAGGGACGATGGAGGAGGAGGGAGCAGCGAGGAGGAGGAGGAGGGAGGAGGGAGGAGGGAGGAGGAGGTGGGAGGATCGGAAGAAGGACAAGGAGGACGGGGACGAGCGAGGAGCAGAGGTGGAGGTCGAGGAGGAGGAAGAGGTGGAGGAGGAGGAGGAGGAGGAGGAGGAGGAGGAGGAGGAGGAGGAGGAGGAGGAGGAGGAGGGGGGCGGAAGGAGGATTCTGTACGCAGAGCAATGCAGTGCAACTCATGGTGCGACTGCGCCAGAGGCAAATAATTGATGTTGGGTTATAGGGTGTACATCCGAAGGGTGGAGGGGGGAGGAGGACGAGGAGGAGGAGGAGGAGGAGCAGGAGAAGGAGGAGAAGGAGGAGGAGGGGGAGGAGCAGGAGGAGGAGGACGTCGGTTCTCGGGGCTCCCTGGGGTGAGGAAATCGTTGGCACAGTGGTGGCAAGGGGGGGATACGGAAGGGGAGGGAGGGTGGATCGTTCAAGCGAAAAGACGCTCGTTCAAGCGAAGAGGTAATCCGTTCAAGCGAAGACCAACCGAGCGAAAACCAATCCAGAGCAGCAGAGAGCGGCAGAGAGCGGCAGCAGAACAGCAGAGAGCAGCAGCAGAACAGCAGAGAGCAGCAGCAGAAACCGACGGCTCAGTGGAGGAGGGGGAGGGGGACGGGAAAGGAGTTTGCTTGCCGCGCGCCTGATCGCTATGGCTCGGAATGGTGGCCGCCTCTGGGGAGCGAGTGAGGGAGAACGGTGACGGAGGGGGAGCGGGCGCGCGAGCGGGCGGGCGGGCGACCCGGCGGGAAGGCGAACGTGCGGGCGGGCAGGCGCGCGGGCTGGACGGGGCGGGCGGGCGGGCACGCGAACGGGCGCGCGCGTTGACGAGCGGGCGGGCAAGAAAGCGGGCGGGCGAGGGGGCGGGCGGGTGGGCGGGCGGCAGCGGCGTCTTAGTCATCGTCATAGTCGTCGTCATTGTCATCGTCGTTGTCGTCGTCGTCGTCGCTTGTGTCGTCGTCGTTCTCCTCGTCGTCGTTGTCGTAGTCTTCGTCGTAATTGTCGTTGTCATTGTCGTTGTCGTCGTCATCGTCGTTGTCGTCGCCATCGTCGTTGTCGTCGTCGTCGTCTTCGTCGTCGCTGGAACCACGTGCCGAGTAGGTTGTGATGTTCGCCTCCGCGGCGTTGCCACGTTGGATGCAACGTTGTGCGCAATGTTATGCGGTTTAGCAACGCTGCGCGCAATGTTGTTTTGCATTTGTTTGCCGGCCGGCCGTTGCCCCATTGCGAACGGAGTGGTGGTCAATGTGTTCCCGCCCCGCGGCGTTGCCATTTGGCTGACATGATCGAGTTATTCGCCCCCCAGACGTAGCCACGTGGCTAGTAGAGTGGGACTGTTTTCGTTCGGCAGGAGCGGCATTGCCACGTGATGAGTTGAGTAGATGTATATTTCGTCTTCGTTCCGCATGTCGTTGCCACGTGGCGAGTGTATTCGGATTGTATTTTGGTTTGGCTCTCAGACCTTGCCACGTGGCGTTGCCACGTGGCATTGCCATGTGGCGAGCCGAGAGAAGTAGCATTTGTTGCCGCCCCGCTTCGTTGCAACGTGCCGAGTAGAGTGGAATAAGTCTGGTTCGCCCCGCAGGCGTTGCCACGCGTTGCCACGTGGCAAAAGGAGTGCAACAACATGTTCCTGCCTCGCAGGTGTTGCCACGTGGCGAGTCGTGCAGTGGAGTAGTTTGTGTTTCGCTCCCCAGTCGCTTCCACCTGGCAACTCGGGTGGGATATTATTCTTGTCCGTCCCGCAGGCGCTTCCACGTCGCAAGGAGAGTGGAGTAGCACAGTCGTTCGCCCCCAGGCGTTCGCCACGTGGCGAGTACAGTGGAATAGTTTCAATTTCCGCCCAACAGGCGTTGCCGCGTGCCGAGTAGAGCGGCGAGGGGGGAGGGAAGAAACGAGAAACAAAAAGGGAGGCACGAGGAGGGAAGGACGAGGAACAGGAGAAGGAGGAGGAGGAGGAGGAAGAGGAGAAGGAGGAGGAGGAAGAGGAGGAAGAGGAGGAGAGAGGAGGCAGGAGGCAGGAGGCATGAAGGAGGAGGAGGGAGGAGGTAGGAGAGAGGAGAGGAGGGTAGGAGGCGTGGGAGGACGAGCGAGGAGGTGGAGGACGACGAGGAGGAGGAGGAGGAGGAAGAGGAGCAGGGGAGAGGGGGAGGTGGCAGGATCGGAAGGGGGACGAGGAGGACGGGGAGGTGCGAGGAGGAAAGGTGGATGACGAACGAGGAGGGGGAAGGAGGGGGGCGGAAGGAAAAACGACGGCGGCTGAAGCGGGGCTTGTCTGAACTGGAATGTTGGGCTTTGCCCCTCTCAGATTTTCGAGTTTGGGTTCGGTCGGAGTTTCGGGTTTCACATGTGGGGGGGATTTTCGGGTTTCGCTTCTATTCGATGTTGGGGTTTCGCCCATCATTTTCGGGCTTCGCGTCGAACAGTTTTCGGCTTCGCCTTGCTACCCAGGACCCCCACCAGGACCCCCCCAGGCCCTCTCCCAGGATCCTCCCCTGGACCCCTCCAGAGCCCCCCCCACCCCCCACCCTCCAGGGGGAAGGGGTCGAAGGGAAGGGGCTTCCTTCCCTTCGACTCAATTACGACGTTGCTCACTTTCGCTTTGGTTTCGCTTTGGCTGGCTCGCTTGAGGAGGAGGGCCCAGTGAAAGGGGGGGAGCGGCGACGGGCCCAGGGAAAGGGGGGTCAAACGTGACGGCGACAGCGCCGACGACGACGACGACGACGACGACGAGGAGGAGGAGGAGGAGGAGGAGGAGGAGGAGGAGGAGGAGGACGACGACGACGACGACGACGACGACTGACGTCGAGTCAAACAGAACAGCTTCTTCCGCACGCTGACAGGGTCGGCAGATTATACATATACGCTGCCTCAAGCCTGGCCCATCACGGGCCTCGGAGCGGTGTATATGCACACCTTCCAAGCCAGGGAGGCGTATACACCCCTCCTGGGCCCATGATGGGCCAGGCCTGGGGCAGAGGATACGTATGATTGATCCCGTCGCCCTATCCGTATTCTGCCGAAGATGAGCGCGATGGGCAGGCGCCTTCGGCTGATGTGCCGCAAGACGGAGTTCTGCCGCTTCTACAGGCAGGGCGCCTGCAAGCGCGGAGCGGCGTGCGACTTCGCGCACGAAGCGCAGGACGTGCGGTCGAAGCCGGACCTCCAGCGCACGAAGTCGTGCCCTGCCCAGGTGAACGGCCAGCGCTGCGAGAATCCCAGCTTTGGGTTCCCTTCGATTCTTTTGAAGACATCACCACGCTGAACTCGTTCAGGCATGCCCAAATGACTATTATCTAAGACGACCATGCCAAACATGGCCATTCTAAATTCGTTAAGGCATGCTTAAGAGCATTAGTATACTGGATGCCAACGTGCACTTCTTACACACGCCCAACAACCCCGCACGTCCGCCTTCTGCACGCGGGCTGCATTCTGCTTCCCAGAGTCTCAGAAGAAGCAAAGGGAACCCAATCCCAGCTGCCCCTTCGCACATGCCGCCGGGGAGCTTCGCAGGTTCAAGCCGGGGCTGCGCGCCTCGGATGGGTGCGCCGCTGCAGAGGGAAAGGGAGCGGGCCGGGCCCTCTGCGCTGAAGCCGTCGGCGGCAGGTGCAGCACCATCGGCAGCAACGGCAGCTCCCGCGGCCGGGCGAATTCTGGCGTGAGCGCCAGCTGTGCGGGCAGCCTCGATCTTGATCTCGACGGATGCCACGGCAACCTCACGTCGGGCCTAAGCCCGATGGGCCCCGACGCTGGTTCTCGGAGTAGAGAAGCATACCCTGGAGGGCAACAGCTATACACCTATACCAATTCTGGCCAGGCCGATCCTGGGCCCAATATTGTTGTATTGAGGAAGTCTCCAGCCTGAGCTTGAACTTAACTCTTGACGGGACTCTTGGAGAGCGTCCTTCTGCTATATATATATCTATCTATATATATATATATCTATCTATATATCTATATATCTATCTATCTATCTATATATATAGATCTATCTATTTATCTATCTATATATCTATCTATATTTATATATATGTGTATATGTCTGTCGATCTGTATATATATGTGTATATCGATCTATATATATACATATATATATATATATATATCTATCTATATATATATATATCTATATATCTATATATCTATCTATCTATCTATCTATATATCTATATATCTATCTATATATATCTAGCTATCTATATATATATATATATCTATTTATATCTATATATACATATATATATATGTGTGTCTATCTATATGTATATATATGTATATCGTTATATATATATATATATATATATCTATCTATCTATCTATCTATCTATATATCTATACATCTATCTATCTATCTATCTATCTATCTATCTATCTATCTATCTATCTATCTATCTATCTATCTATCTATCTATCTATCTATCTATCTATCTACACATATTCCCTTTTCTATATTTTTATAATCCGGGGGGGTGGGACCCCCCCCCCGAAAATCGGACCCCCGGGATCTGGCGCTTTTCGGGCCCCCTGGACGCCTTGCAAGGGGTCCCCCAGGCCTTCCGGGCCTCCTGGACGCCCCTGCGGGGCCTTGCCAGCGGGCCCAAAGCGGTCAGGAGGGCGGCCAAACGGCCCCGCGAGAGCCCCAGGCGGCCCCAGACAGCCCCAAGACGCCCGAAGACGACCCAAAGAAAACCCCCAAGAGGTCCTCCAAGTGCAAAAAAAAACAACACTTTCCTTTCCTTTCCTTTTTTTTGCCTTAAAAAAAGAAGGAATTTTTGGACATTCGGTTCTTCGGTATTCCGTGCGTCCGAGTCCGCCGAAGAGGCCCCAAAAATCCTCCCACAACGGTGTCAAAGGGCTTCCAGACAGTCCAAAAGAGCCCCAATATGGTCCAACAGGGCCGCAAGATGGCCCCAAGAGAGCCCCGCTGACAGCCCCAGATGGCCCCAAGACGCCTCCCGAAGCACTTCCGTAGCCATTTTGGCTCAAGATGCCCTTTGGAGTAGAGCAGCGGCCAGCCCGCCCCCCTGGGCGACCCCCTGGGGCCGCCGGGCGGTCGGGCCATGGCGGGCGACCCCCCGCCGCGCCGGCGCCAGCCCTCGCTACAGGAGGACGGCGAGGACCTCGAGGACAACGCCGAGGCCCAGGCGTGGCTGGAGAGCCGCCTGGACGGCCTGAGAGAGGACGACTTCGGGGGAGGCCTGCGGATCTTCTGCACCACCCACCTGCGGCCCCCGGAGGCCTTCCGCGACGTGTGGCACGTGGTATCCGCGGATACGGACGTGCACGCTGACACGCTGTCGCTCACCGCCGAAGATGCGGCCCAGCTGAACTGCATCCTGGTGTTCTGCAACCAGAACAAGAGCCACGAGGTCAGCAGGCTCGGCCAAATCATCGCCAGCATTGACGTGAGCGGCTTTGACGCCCCGCCGATGTTCTGGGTGCCCCACTCCGCCGCTCCCGAGAAGCGTCGGCACGAAAACTCCAACATGGTACAGCCGGACGTGGCGGCGCATCTTCTGCAGCAGGGCCTGGACGGCGTCGTGGGTGTAGGGGAGCCACGGGGGCTACGGTTGTCAATGGCCGTGCTCTCGAACATGCGCAAGTCGCAGCGTCTCTCGAGGAACTTGGTAGACATGCTCGAGGAGTCGAGGGAGCGGAGCCAGTACGCGCAGCACCTCCGGCGGTGTGCCCACGAGGCCCTATGGAATTACACGAGGGCGCGCCTAGCGCCGGGGATCCCGCCCGTGGACAACACGCTCGAAGCTGGCGACATGGACTCGCTCGAGCTTCCCGGTTTCACCATCGGAAATAAGCTCGGGGAGGGGGTGTTCGGGTCTGTCTACAGGCTGACAGAGAACCCAGGGACCGGCACCCAGGTCCTCAAGATGGTGCAAACCGAAGGCGTCACGGATCTCAAGGACCTCATGTACATCCACAGCATGACCGAGGCGATGAGGAAGATGAGCGAAGGTGAGCTGCGGCACCCAAACATAATCCAATTCTTCCAGGTCTACAACACGCCGACGCACATCCTTTTCCGGCTGGAGTACGGGGGCCCAGAGAATCTGTACAGGCGCCTGTACGGGCGCCAGGTTCAGCAGCCGGAGAGGCACCGGCCGCTTCCCAGCGACAAGGCGGCGAAGATCATCTCCCAGGCTGTTGAGGCGGTGTGTCACCTGCACACGAGGGTGCGGATCTGCCTCCTCGACATAAAGCCGGAGAACATCATTCTGAACGAGACCCCCGACGACGTCACCGTCAAGTTGGCTGATTTCGACCTCTGTGCCTTCATCGAGGACGACGACACTGTGTTCCACAGGGCCTGCGGCACCCTGCCGTTCTCGGCCCCAGAGGTGATGATGGAGATCCCTTACGATGGCCGCAAGGCGGACATCTGGAGCCTGGGCGTGGTTGTCGCGGAGGTGCTCTGCGGGATACGAGTGGTGGAGGCCCAGATCCAGGCGTCGGGGCTGCAGGAGCGGCCAGGCGGCGCTGAAGCGATGCTTCCCGAGCGCATCAAAGCCTTTTTCCAGGCGCCCGGCGCGGCGGCCACCCTGCTGGAGCAGCACGGCCGCCCGGAGCTGCAGTCCCTGGTGGCCTGCTGCAGCACGACGATCGCCGGGATGCTGCAGGTCGACCCTGCCCAGAGGTGGACGGCCGAAGAGGTCCGCTCCCAGGTGGAGCAATCTCTCAGGCCCTTCCTCGCGAGGCCCCTTGCGCCTGCAGGCCCGGCACCCAGCCACCGCCGCCCATCGGCGTGCGCCGGGCGGTCACAGACGGCCTCGCAGCCGATGTCGCGACAGCTGAGTGAGCCAGTGCGCCCTTCAAAGGCGGCCGCCAGACTGGATGACTAAGCAATTCCACGAATCAATTTTAATTTTTCCAAAAGAACGAGGACGCGGCACCTGGTGGCCGTAATTGGCTTCAGGCGCGAGCTCGCGAAGACCCAATGTGTCTCCTCGTTCAGGACAAGCCAGCAGATTGCGCCCTTGTCGCAGCCGCAAGGAACTCGGGGCGGGGGCGTTTGGCGCGGGCCGTGGTGCTAATAATTGCACCTGGTTAGATCGATGACTGGGCCCGAAAAGAATTCCCAAATTAGGTCGCAGCACGTACGACCTGCTTGCGTAGTGCCTGGCAGTGAACCACCCTCCCTTATCCTTTTTCCCTCCTGTTTCACCGCCCCTTCCTTCTTCCCTCCTCCCTTCCCCTCCCCTCAAGCACTGCGTCACAAACTTTGAATACCTCAGCATCCATCGTGCGTTTAAGTCCAGCGTGCCGCGTTTGAACGAACGCGAGCGTTGCTCGTCACGGCAACGCCTGTTTCAATTATCGTGTTTTTACTAGTGAGGCGTGACGTTTTGCGTACGATCGGATTTTTGTTGCATGGCCTCTCTTGGGGTTCCGGGCCCGGGGATCATCACCAAACAATTCGGGATGAACAGTTGGCCCAGGGGGAGGGATCGAAAGCCTCAGTGGCCATCAGCCAGAAGACTTGAGTTGCCGCATCCCTTGTTGCAGCGACCACTGTCGTTTTGTACAGGCCCTTTGACCTGATCGCCTGGGCTTGCTGCGCGGACCGCATCCTTGATGCTCGTGGCAGGCGCGGCTGTGTGCAGCGAGAGGGAGGAGTTCGACGAGCCGTCGGCGAATGCATTGGCGGGAAAAAAAAAAGACGCCTCCCGAAGCACTCCAAATCGTGACCCGGTCGTTCAGGGAGACCGTGGTTGGTAGCAAGGTGGCCGCAAGAAGCCCCCAGAGGCCCCCAAAAGGCGCCCAGGAGGCCCCCAGAGGTCCCCAAAAAGCTTTTGAGAGGGGCCCATGAACACCTCCAAAGAGGAGCCCCTGCAATAAAAACTGGGGATGAGGACAAGGAGTGGCTCGCAGACAAGGAAGATTACGAGTAAGAGGAGAGGAAGTATAAGGATAGTACATAACATTACTATAACGACGATGGCGCAAACGGCAACAACGAATCATCGCTATATTTGGCTCTCCTGCATGCCGAGCTTCAAGAACCAAGGTGCATGGCGCGAAGCGCCAATGCAGTCTTGTATATATATATATATACACATATGTGTGTGTGAGGTCGCGCGCGTGTGTGTGTGTGTGTGTGTGCGCCGTTCCGTTTCGCCGTCTCGCTCAGGGGCATCTTTTGTTTCAGCCTTGCGAGCTCCTTCAGTCAAAAGGTCCATCATCCGCTCGACAGTTTGCCGACGTTGGCGTGTCAGTGGTAGTGGAGCACGTGGATTTCCGCGGGCCCAGCTGCTGGCGCCGCCCGATGTCGCTAAGCAGCCCATGCAGCTCTCGAGGTAACGGACAGCGGTGGAGGCAGGTTGGAGTAAGTACGGAGGCAGGGGGCAACAGCCCCCAGATAGCATATTCACGGAAAAAAAGAAGGAGGAGATGGCCGAGGTTCTAGCAAAACAGTCTCGTCGCCAGTTCCAGGAGCTGGAGGACGAGATGAAAGAACTCCTCCTCACAGCGCGACAGCAGGAAGCCTCGAACACTGTTGAGGCACGGGCAGAGGGCGCGGGCCGACCAGCGCGCGACCCGTGGAAGTCACAGGATCCATGGGGTCGGCAGGAGCCCGACGAGCAGCCAACGATACCGAGGGGGCCTACCAGCTCGTGGGGAGCTGACGGCGGGTCTGGGTGGCAGCGCTCCGAGGACGGGAAGAGCCAGGACCCAGACAAAGCAGATGACCAGTGGCGGTCTTCATCGCCGAATTGGTGGTTTGCGAACGGTTGGTCGTCTTCGTGGGATCGGTCTTCGTGGTCCAAGGCAGACTATAGACTTGGGCGTGTGGATGGATTGGGGAGGCTTTCGCATATGGAGACGGAAGATCAAGAAATGGCTTTCCACGACCGATGTTCCGATATCTAAACGGGCAGATCGTCTCCTTGGATCGCTGGACATTGATCTTCAGAGGAAGATGGACGACATCAGCGATTCAGTTCTACTCTGCAGCGATGGTCCAGAGATCATTCTAAAGCGCTTGGACACCATACGTGGCAAGCGCATCGACGAATATCGACGATGGGGGCCGCCGAGCAGCTGTATAATGCCTCTTCGGGCGCCGGCGTCGCCAGGGAGAGACGCTCTCGATGTACGCCGCCAGGATGGAGATGCAGTTTGATCAGTTGCGTGCTCGGGGATTACCTTTTCCTGACAAGTGGATGCATCTCTTCATGGAGGAAGGCGTAGGATTAGACGACAGCGGCAAACAGATGCTGGGTGTCTTGGCGAGAGGATGGGGCAAACACAAGGATCTCCCAAGTGCCATTCGCGAGCTCGACCTCTCCAAGACGGAGTCTCTCTCTTCCGCTGGCCGGGCGCCCAAGAGCCACGCCGTGGAGGCGACCGAGGAGAGCCAGCATGCACTCCTCGAGGACGACGAGGCGTCCGACACCTCCCTGGACACCGAGATGGAGAATGAGATCTCGATGAGCATCGACGCCGCAGACATCGGCGAGGAGGAGGCCCCGACAGTTCTTCTCGAAATCGCCGGCGAGAGGAGGAAGACCTGGAAGGAAAACAAGGACCAGAAGAGGCCAGCCAAGGTCAACAGGCGCTTCATCCTCCTCCGCCTGCCGCATCGACCTCGCAGCGCCCAGAGAGGCCTCGCAGCGCCGAGAGAGGCGCTCAGGCAGGTGTCTTCAAGGCGACTGAGGCGGGGAGATCATTATGGACACCGTCGCCGCCCAGGGCCTCATCGGCCCGGAGTCGCTGCGACGCTGGGAGCAGCGGCTCGATTCGCTCGTTTCCAGAGTTCTGAGAGCGAAAAGCAGCAGCGCGTCAGCCAGAAGGGTAGGGGGCAACATTCCCGTTTTTGTTTCCAAGTCTTTTGGTGCCCATGGACCTCGAGGGATGCCTTGGGGCGATGGAAATAGATCTCGTTGAGCAGGAGCCCCCTGCCCTCATGCCAGTAGGACTGCAGGACATGTTAGACGCAATCATCGATTTGCCACGGGATAATGTGCAGTTTTCGAGTCTGGGTGCGCAGGCGCCTTTCTAGGGAAACTGTCCAGCGGCCACGGAGTCGCGAGCGTCGACGAGCTAGGGCCCCCTGGCGATTTTTCACATTCCGGAGGCCATTGCCTCTAAGCGCGGTCTCCAGCCCGGAGCTCTCAGTCTCTCTTCAGAGTATAAGGTCCGACTCGACACGACCGGGGCGACGTTCGCGAGCACCGACCCGAGGAGGAGAGGGAAGTGGAGGTAATTAAAAGAAGGACCGAGACGAGAACACGGGATCGCGTTTGTCTAGATACGAGGAAACTTTCGAAGACTACACCTACTCACGGAGACGGAGTCGAACAGCGCCGACAGAGGGGCAGCATCGCCCCGACCCCAGCTAAACGAGACCAGCCCAGGACCCCGGGGGCCCATAACGTCGACGAGGGGGACGAACGAGAAGGTTTGGGCAGAGGGGGGGCCTGGATCGCCGCGTCGGAAGCAGCTCGGGAAGTCGGGAAGTGCGAAGACGCGCCTCGCACGGTCGGCGAAGAGCCCAATGCTCCCCAGGACCCTGATTACCAGGACACTGCGTACCCCAAGGACACCCGACCATGGCCCGAGAAGCAGCTCCCAGAAACCCTCGTGACCCATTTGGGCTCAAATATCAGCCAGGACCTTGCTTCTCTGAGCATCCCTGTCGTCTCATCAGGTTCCGATCCCATCCCAGACGCGCATGGCGGCGGCCGCGAAGGCCGAGGAGCAGGTGGTCTGGCTGGTCACGGGGCAGGTGATGCCCGAGGACATTGCCGAGACGGGCTCTCGCTGGGTCTCTCTCGAGCAAAGTGATTGCTCGAATGGAGCAGTGGGGGGTCACCTCCTCGAGATGGTGGCCAACGGAAGGCCGTTCCCTCGTGGCTTCCCGAGACGCATGGGGAAGCTCACCGACGCCCAGGCGATGCGCCGCCATCCGCTGGATCAGCAGATGCACTTTTCCAACGCCAGCGCCGAATGGGGGAAGTGCGCAGCCTGCCACCTCAGGGCCAGCCACGGCACGATTCAGAAACAGGAGAAGAAGGTCCCAGTTCAGGGGCCACATATTCGACCGAACGCTCGGGGACCCGCCAAAGGGCATTCTACCTGCGTCCGAGGTCGCGCCCAAGAAGGAGCCAGAGGGACCGCTTACGCCGAAGATAATGAAGGGGTGCCGCCTGGAAACGCCGCCCAGTTACAGCTCCTCGAGACGGGCGTGATGAAACTGACTGCCGAGGAGGACTCTCTCTCTCTCTCTCTCTCTCTCTCTCTCTCTCTCTCTCTCTCTCTCTCTCTCTCTCTCTCTCTCTCTCTCTCTCTCTCTCTCTCTTTTTTGTTTTTGTTTTTGGGGGGTTTGTCCTCTCTCTCTCTCTCTCTCTCTCTCTCTCTCTCTCTCTCTCTCTCTATCTCTCTCTCTCTCTCTCACGGCGCCGACAGGGCCCCTCCGCTAGCGCGAGGTCTCGAGCGGCGTCCTCTCGACAGCCCTCGTCGTCGTCGTCATCGGGTCGAGACCGAATGGAAAAAGACGGCGAGGGCTGAATTTTCTAATGTTCCACAGCTCCTGGCCTTTGCCTCGAGCGAGGCGGCGCCGTCATTTCGCATTTCGCAGAGCACGGTGAGCAGCGCAGAAGTTTCAAACTCACGAAAGTTGGGCTGGCTGAGGAAGTCTCCAGGAGATTATTGGAGAGTTTCTTTCTGTTGCATATATGCCGTTCTGTCTTGCCGTTTCGCTCAGGGGCGCCCTTTGCTTCGCAGTTGTGAGCTCTTTCGGTCTCGAGGTCCATCATCCGTTCGACAGTTTGCCGAAGGTGGCGCGTCAGTATATGCCCTTCCATTCCACGCCAAGAAGGCAGGTGCAGCGATCCTGATCTTAGGGTGAGCCTGGCCAGAATCCGTGTATGTCTATAGCGGGCGTCCTCCCATTACCACCACCAAGCTCTCACAGGCCCGACGAGGGCCCAGATCTTGGTGGACGTCGGCACCGGGCCAGGCTGGGATGCCGTGTCCACCGAGCTGGGGGATCGGAATTCATACGGAAAGCATGGGGACGAGGGCCGACGGTAATTTCTGCTTATTCGTCGAACAGTGGCGAAGCGCTTTGGCTTCCCTATATACCACCACAGAATATTATAAGAACCTGCTGTGGTCTGCGCGAATTGTTCTCAGAACATGCTTGGCTGGGGCTGTCTAGTTTTAACACATCGGCTTTCTGTTATAATAGGACTGCTTTTATTTTTAGAGCGTTTTTGGGTTGAAGAACATTTCGTGGTACGGTCGGTCTCTGCTCAAATTCGGAGCATGACTCGTTGTCGGCGTCGCCGCGGGCGTTGTCCGTTTGAGACAGAAATTCGCCTGCCCGATAGCGGCTGTTGTTGGTTTGGGCCAACATTTGCGGTTGCGCATTACAAGCAAAATTGATATTTACCCATCTTGGGCGTGCCAAACCGAGTGAAGTTCTGGGCCCAAGATTTGATTTGCGGAAATTTCGTTGTGATCGTCGGTGTCGCTGTCCATGGGTTCGGGGAGGGCGCCAATTATAATCAGACGCCGATAGCTTGTTCAGGCGTGCGCTGGACCCCAAGTCAATGCTCGGGCGCCCCCAAAGCTTGTTTGGAGGATGTATGAGCTGGCCCCAGGCTCAGGATTGGCGCGGCCAGGATCGGCGCCGGTGCATGGCGCGGCTCCAAATAGGCTCGCCCTATAGGAGTCTTAGTTCATCATAAGTAATGGGTCTTTAGGACCCTCCCTTTTTCCAATGGCACCCCCCCCTCTTCCAATGGCCCCCCCCCCTGAATTTCCGATGACACCCCCCTCCCCCCCTTTTCCAGTGGCACCCACTTCCAATGGCCCCCCCAGCGGTTTCCAATGGCGAGTCCTTGCTCTTGCGTGCTTGCTTGCCTGCTCTTGCTTTCCCTGCACTTGCTTGCTTGCTCTTGCGTGCTTGCTCTCGCTTGCTTGCTCTTGTTTACCCTTGCTTGCTCGCACTTGATCGATGGCTATTGTTTGCTTGTTATTGCTCGCTTGCGCTTGCTTGCTTCCGCTTGCTTGCTTGCGCTTGGTTGATTTTGCTCCTCCCATCCTGCTGCCGTCCTCCTTTTGTCCTCCTCCCATCCTCCTTTCGTCCTCCTCCTGTCCTCATATCTATTTGGAGTCAACGCTGGCTGATATTGCTAGATGTTTTTTCTATCATGGCCCCTCTAGTGCACGCAGATCTTCCTCGCAGTAGTCGGGGAAACGTAAGACTCGAGTACGCTGGAACTCGGGTCTGCCGACGCTTTTTGACGAGCGCGTCCTGGATTTTGACGGTCCAGTTTTTTGGGGGATACTTGCAGCTGGAGCTCGTCATTTTCGTGATGGCCCGTCAGGCCAACCCGAGTCCCCCGAACCCGAGTCTTACGCCTCCACCTGGTAGGCCCGCAAAGACCGCCGAGTGCCATACCGCCGAAGACAGCCTGGGGCCCCCGAAGACAGGCGCGAGGGCCCACTGGCAATTTTTGGTGGGGGCTGTGTGTTGGCGGCGCTGCTGGGCGGGCCCCGAGAGGCCTCGGGGGGCGTCCAGGGGGCCCCAGGGGCCTCCGAATCGGCGGCGAGCCGAGGGGGGAGGCGAGAAGGAGAAGGCCTTCTCAGAGGGCTCGGAAGTCCCCCGGCCTGGTGAGGAGTGCTCTGAGCCTTCCCCGAAGACGCAGGAGACTTCCGAGAAGGCGCGAGGGCTTCTGAGAAGTCCCGCCGCCTTCTGAGAAGGCCCTCTCCTTCTCACCTCCCCTCTCGCTCGCCGCCGAGCGGAGGCCCGGAGAAAGTTCAGACACCCTCGGGCCTCAATCTCGTGACCTCGAAGCCGCCCCACCAGGTTCCGAATGCAGCTTCGGCCACCAGACCTCCAACTGCGGCTCCGAGGGCGACTTCGGCCGCCAGACCACCGCGTGCAGCTCCGAAGGCGGCTTCAACTCGCAGACCACCGCGTGCGGCTCCGAGGCTGGAGGGGCGCTAGCTGTCCGCCTGTATGCTGGGCCCGTTCTTGGGCCCCGAATCGGCGCATGGGCACCTTCGGTTAGGCCAGAAGGGAACGTGCACCGGCCCTGGGCCGAGGAAGGGCCCGGCCTTGATCGGTGTAGGTTTACACGTCGGTCGTTGAAAACGGGTATTTCTGGATTCCCAGATCCCAATCCACGTCAAGCGCCTGCCTACTTCAAGAATCGATCTGCTTTTGCTGTGGTTTGTTATTTAATCGCTTCGCTCATTCCGCCGGCCTCTTGGGGGCCTCGTTGGGCCCTCGTGGGGAGTCTCTTGGGGCTCCTTGGCGGCGTCTTGGGGGCCCCCAGGGCCTCTTCGGGGGCTGTTGTGGGCCTCTTCGGGCGGGAGGGGGGGTAGTCGGTTGCGGCTCCCCCCTCGGAGGCCACGATCCTCGTGCCCAGGGGCCGCCCCGCGCGCGCGAACTAGAAATATTGTTTAGCAGTTACCGGAGATCTTAGCACGCCTCTGGCCCGTTGGGCCAGCGAATTCTCTGGGAGGGCCTGGACCCAATCTACTTGATCCGCCTTCCTACTTAATGTTTTGACCTGCTTCTTCCGACCGAAGCGTATATTGTATATGTCACGCGCAACGTTAGGGGGGACAGGCTCAGGGGAGACGCATCGACCCCCAATCGCCCATGGGTCGCCGATAGGGGCCCGATAGCCCCTGCCCCCGCCCAGGAGCATGCGGATTCGCTATCGGGGGCCTGTCGCCGATCTATCGGCGATGCACAGCCGATTCCGGGTCGATGCTTCCCCCTTGAGCCAGCCCCCCTTTGCGTTCTCCCTCATTGGAGCTCTGCAGAGCTCTTTTGGAGGCCTCTGGTGGAGGAGCAGGATCAGTTGGGTCCCCACCAGGGCGAGAAGATCATCGCGCCTCGCTCGTTGCGGTCCGGGCAGCAGCGGCTGCCCTTCTTCAAGCGGACTTGCGCAAGGCTGCGCGAGGGCGCGAAGGTGATCGTGGGGCGCGATGCGCGAAGTTGGGTGGCCTAGGACCCGATGGAGGACTACATGTTAAGAGGAGGTCCAGCTTCCTCGGGGAGGAGGAGGAAGATGAGGAGGAGGAGGAGGAGGAGGAGCAGGAGCAGGAGCAGGAGCAGGAGCAGGAGCAGGAGACGGAGCAGGAGACGGAGCAGGAGATGGAGGGAGAGGAGCAGAGAGAGGAGGAGCTGGAGGAGGAGGAGGAGGAGGAGGAGGAGGAGGAGGAGGAGGAGGAGACGGAACAGGAGACGGAGCAGGAGACGGAGGAGAGAGAAGAGCAAGAGGAGAAAGAGGAGGAGGAGGAGAGGAGGGAGGAGAGGAGGAGGAGGAGAGGAGGCGGAGGAGGAGGAGAGGAGGAGGAGGGGGAGGAGGAGGAGGAGGACTAGGAGGAGGATGAAAAGGGAGGAGGAGGAAAAAGGAGGAGGACGAGTAGGAGGAGGAGGGAGGAGGAGGAGGAGGAGGAGACGGAGGAGGAGGAGGAGGAGGAGGAGGAGGAGACGGAGGAGGAGGAGGAGCAGGAGCAGGAGCAGGAGCAGGACGAGGGAATAGGAAGGAGGAGGAGGGAGAGGAGGAGGAGGAGGAGGAGGAGAGGAGGAGGAGGAGGAGGAGGAGGAGGAGGAGGAGGAGGAGGAGGAGGAGGGGGGGGAGGGGGAGGAGGGAGGAGGAGGAGGAGGGAGGAGGGAGGAGGAGGAGGAGGAGGAGGAGGAGGAATGCGCCCTCCGGTTGGCGCCCTCCTGCTAGGACGACTTCGGCCGCCAGACCTCCTGCGGCTCCGAGGGCGACCGCCGCCCCGCCCATCGCAAGAGTCACAAGACGCGCATGTGCACCTTTTACATTTTGGGGAGGTGCCGGAAGGACGAGCCTCTTCTTCTTACCATTATTCTTCCTCCTCCTCCTCCTCCCCCCCTCCTCCTCCTCATCCTCCTCCTCCTCCTCATCATCATCATCATCATCATCATCATCATATCATCATCATCATCCGTAGCCATTTTGGCTCAAGGCAGGGGCCTCGCTGGCGCAGCAGAGGGCTGCAGTTTCTCTCGGCAGAAGACATTCACTTTCGTTTCTCGACCACTCGTCAGGCATGGCGTTGGCGGCAGGCGGAAGCGCTAGCACCTCGGGAGGCCCTCAGGATACGTTGCTCGCGAACATTCAGAGGATGCTAGAGACGCAGGAGAAAAATATCACTGGCAAAACGGAGACGCTCATCAAAGAACAAGCTGCTGAAGTACTCCAGCTACGTACGGAGGTCACGGCGAGTATGCACTACATGGAGAGTAAGATCGACACGGCGACGAAGGACACCGACGCGCGCATTTCGAAGTTGGAGCAGATCATGACTGGACACGGCATCCCTGTGGAAGCTGAAAATAAGAACATCAAGGAAGCGAATGAGAAAGTTGCTGCATTGGAAGCAGACATAAAGAAATTACAAGCTATGCAATCAGCTACACCTTCGACGGCATCCTCTTTCGGTGGCTCGGCTCGCACCTTCTCGGATTCTAGTGGATCGAAGGCCAGGCGCGTTGATGGCCCCAAGAATGACTCGATAAATAAGAATCGCAAATGGATTGGAACATTCCCTCGGATACTTTTTGCTCGTGAGCGCAGATTGCACTACACCAACACGGTACTACCCCTTCTTCCAGCGGATCTTGCGCAAGAGATTACGCCCAACTTCCCTCGCACCGCGAAGACATACAGCTTGGATTTCTCGACCGAGCTTGCCGCCAAGAGGTTCCAGGACCTTGTTGCTGTTTCACCTGATAGTATGAACTGGACGGACCCGCGGAACCAGAGCGTCCACCAGATAAAGAGCCGTGGTGACATGCCGCTTGATGTTCGGGTTCGGCAGAGAGCATGCAGCCACATCTACGCCAAGCTTCGAGATATGCTATCCGCAGCTGGTCACGACCTCTCCAGCACGCGCCTCGGGGTCAACGGCTACCAGGGCATGATCAACTTGTATGGGGATGCAGACAATGGCGAGATCTGGGAGATGATCTACATCAAGGGCAACGAAGTTGCGGGCTGGTCGTTCGAGCCAAACCTCACGAACTGCCGCATCTGGAAGCTGAATGACGAGGCTGTCATCGATGCCATCGCGACGGCCACCACTTCAGCGAACAACCCGACCGAGTACCTGTGAGAACTTGGTTCAGAGGCTGCTGAGAGCCTGCCGGCGCAGGCCGTATGTTCTCGCTTGAATTTGTTGAACAGAATGCCGGGTGCCTCTGCTATGTGTAGTCGAGGCGAACCTTCCAGGGATATTGCAGGTGATGTGGGGCCCAGCAATATGCCGTTCTCTCCTCCCTCTGCTCTCTCGATTGTCACTTGGAATGCTCATGGTCTTTTTGGTGCGGTGAAGGCTACGAAGTACGCGACCGCCTCCAACCGCTGGGGGAAGTTCATTAGTCTCAGCCGTCGTTACTCAGTTGTGCGTGCACAAGAGACGCATGGTCAAGTAGCAGATGTGTCGCATCTCCAGCATGATCTACGCAACTCTAGCATTGGTCACTCGTTCTATGATGATGATAGTCGCACTGGTGGTGTTATTACAGTTATGTCGTCATCCTTTTCTGCACTGTTTGATTCGATTGAGCATATTCCACTGATTGTCGGTAGAGTTCTTCTCTCTGTCTGCAAGGGGAAGCACGGCGCGCTCGTGATTGTGAATGCGCACCTCCCTAACGTTTGTGATCCCATAGCTGCGTACTCTCACTACCTTTCCAGGATTTCTGATGCCCTTCCTGATGCTGCTACGAGTTTTAACATTATCCTCGGGGACTGGAATTTTGTATATGAAGATGAAGGCAGGCTAATGACTGATGGGAGTGGTTTTAGTCCAGGGGATAGGGCACACACTGACTTGTTCCATCGGAAATGCGGTTCTTGGGTTGAGTTCTTCCAGGAATCTGATACTCGACGGGAAATACGGGACAAGATTATTTCTCAGACGTCACGTTTCGACCGCATATACTCGGACATCCCTTCGGCTCTCTTGGCTGATCTGACCATCAGCACATCTGTGGTGGGGAGGCTTAAGAATATCCAGAGCTCGGACCACATTCCCGTCCTGTCGGTGATCGAGAGATATGCCCCACCTGCCCATGCCCAAGCATTTGTTCCTCTCTGGCTTGCTCGTCATTCTATCTATCAGGAGATGCTGTCCTCTGCTCTTTTGGCTATGCTTGCTGAAAATGACCATGGCCAGCAATGTGCTCTTCAGACTCTCGCTCGTACCAAAGATATCATGCACGCCACGTGTAAGCGTGCCAAGAAAGCTATTGCCAGTCGACCTGCATCGACGTTATCTGAGAAGTTGCATTGGTCTCTTCATTCTCTTCGTGGTTGGCGTTCGTCCAGGGAGCATATGCTTATTCGTGCTATTGAATGCTATGAACATCTTGGTAGTTTCTTTAATCTTGTTACTCTTGAGCTCGAACATCCTGCTGCTCTTTTTGCTCATATCCAGTCTCTGCAGACCCAGATGCTAGACAACGAGGCCACACTGATTGAAAGCTCCCCGTCTGAAGAGGCCACCAAACGAGCCGCCCTGGAGAAGATAAGTAGGAAACAGGACATCTGGAAGCTGTTTCGAAGACGCACCTGGCTTTCAAGTGTGAACGACGCTCATGGAGATCCCTGCTCTTCTCTGGAGGATTCGGCGGCTGCCCTTCGTGACCACTGGGGTGCCATCTTTGGGGACTTCGAGGCTGACACCACTCTTTGGGATGAGATCCTGAGCTTTTCTCAGAAGGCCCCTGATATCTCGGATGAGTTCTGGAAAATCGACTTTGAGGAATTCAATCAGATGCTCCAAGCCCGTTCCCCTTCGATGCCTGGGGAAGATGGATTGCCGTATCAGTGCTGGGCGATCGGACCAGCTCCCAAGATTCTGTTTGCTGTATACTCGGGATTGTGTGACGGCAGCGTCTCCGACTTGCCGACGGATATGCGACGTCTGCTCATGGTTTTCTTGCTTAAAGGTACCAAACCACCTGATGAAGGCCCGATGCTTACTCGTGATTGTGCTGAGACGCGTCCATTATCCATGGGCAACACAGATGCTAAGCTGCTCTCCTGTGCTTTCTGCATCCCACTCTCTCGCATGTCAAAGACGGTTGTTGATGAGTCCCAAACATGTGTGTCTGGCCGAAGTATGCTTGGTAATGTTGTCTCTGCCGAGAGCTGAGGAATTCAGCAAGACCTCCTGGGGCATGATCGTGCCGGTATGCTGCTTACTGATTTCGCTGCTGCATTCCCATCCATCCTGGTCGGTTTCATGCTTGCTGTGTTGCAATCGATGGGCGTCCCTAGCTTTGTACTCGCGTTCTACACCTTGCTCTATCGTGATAACTACGGTATCATAACACTCGGGGGCAAGAGATTTGATGGTTTCCAGATTCTCCGTGGTGTTCGGCAGGGTGGCCCCAGTAGCATGTGTCTATTTTGTCTCTGCCTAGACCCCATTGCGATGGTTGCGATCACGTTCGGGCACTCATATTCGACGGTCACTTGCATATGCTGACGACTGCCTAGTTGCGATGCACAACATCCTGACATCCTTGCCGCGTGTCTGGTCCTTGCTTGTTCTCATTGGTCCTGCTTGTGGTCTCTTTCTCAACTCGAAGAAATGTCAAGGACTGGTCTGTGGCACTCTGAATCTAACTCTTCTTCGCAATAGTGTAAATGAATATTCCAATGGCCTGGCTGAGATTGAATTCGTTAGATACGCTAAATACCTCGGCATATATATTGGCCCTGAGGCGGGGGATCTCGGATGGCAGGAACCTCTAAGAAAATTCTGTTCTCGGACCCGATCTCTCAGACAGATGGGTCTTGGCTTAGCTGTTACATTATCTACATTCCAGGTTATGTGTCTATCGGTCCTGCAGTTCGTGCTTCAACTACATCCTGTCCCATCAGCATGTTCTTAAGATATACCAAGAAACTCTTCAACTTCTTATGGCTGCCCCCAGACACTCATTCTCGTATAATATGATCACTCGCCTTAAGTCTCTGGGTCTTGACTGTGAAGCAAAGGAGATTGTCAACCTCTCGGCTGCCTCAAGGGTTTGTTTCGCTGCGTCGTGCTCGGCTGTGGAACAGGCTCGCAAAGAGATCCAAGAAGTTCTTCACTCAGATGATCGTATTGTATCTAGATGCTGTATTTGGTTCCGCCCCAGTTGGTACAGGTCCTCGTTTCTTTGCTCTATGTTCGACGTTATCACGATAACTATGGCTGTGATCCCGAAGCTCCCTGACACTAATAAGAATCTTCAACCAAAGATATACTCGGCTCTTCATAAACGTGCTCCCGCTGGTGTTCTTCCGATGGATGGAGTATATACCAGACTTACGAAATGGGTTCCTGATATGCGTCGCTGTATGCTCGACTCGTGTATTAAGCAAATCCGCTCTGTCTGCCGTACGACTAGCACACATATTGGATTCAGTGTCTTACGGTCTTGCTGTCGAGGGGTCTGCACTTCGGCCAGATTTCGTGATATGACTCGTCCTTCGTGCTGCTTTGGATGTCCTATTGAGTTCTCTGCTTCAGGTGCCCCTGTGAATCTCGACAACATGAAGCACTATCGCACGTGTCCCAGATTAAAAAGCTTGTGCCTCCGCTGGATGGGCAGAGGATTTCCTGAGGAGTCTGCTGAGAGGCCGTGGTTTTCCTATCTCCTTCTCCTCTTCCCTCTGTGCGCCAATCGACGTCTGCTCTGTGCCTGCATGTGTGACGCGTTTCTCAGTGTTCATGGTCACGTTCGTAACCACCTCCCTGGTACCCCAGAGCAGGCATTCGAAGCTAGGCTCCGATCACAGGCTCGGCGGCATAGGGCTGTTGC